GGAGACTTATAATAGAGTTCAGAGAGTGCATTCTTACCGTATATACAAAAATATAAATAAATAAAGTAATAACAAAAGAATAAGAAAAAAGAACAAAAGAGTAAAGAAAAAAAAAATATATACACATAAGTAAATAAAAATAGAATTAAAAGTAAAACAAACATCTTATATAAAACACACCTATATACATTATTTACAATTTGCCAGGTGATCTCCGAACCAATCCTGTCCCCGCCACATGTGGAGGGAAAAGGGAGGCTTAGGAGATCCCTACGCTCCTCCCTCAGCCACTTCACTGGTATTTAAGACCAGCGGAGGATGAGTAAGAGCGCTACAGCCACAGACACTCATGACTTGAGTGGAGAATCTGGCCATTGCTAGAACTCCAAAATATCCATATTTACAAAAGGTCTCGTGGCCACTGTCGCTTTAACCTACGAAGGGGATTGTAGGGATGGATGGTGCTTGATAGGGATTGTACAACGGGATTTGGGTGATGAGAAAGGTTCTGGTGAAATTTGGAAAATTTGGCTGTCATAAGATCAAGAATAAATGGGATATTAAGGTCATGATGTAGGGTTTTATTGGTTACATAGAAGGGAGCATCGACTATTGTACGGAGGACTTTAGACTGGAAGGATTGAATGCGTTTGATGTTAGAAAATTTAGCTGTTCCCTATAGTTCTAGTCCGTAAGCCCAGATGGGTTTCAGTATTGTCTTGTAGATCAGTAATTTGTTTTCACCAGAAAGTTTAGATTTTCTATTCAGTAGTCTATATAGCTGGCCATATCGTCTGGTAAGTTCCTGTCTTTTAAGTCTAGTATGTGGATTCCATGTTAGTCGTCTGTCTAAGAGAAAGCCAAGATACCGGACTGTATCTGAGAAAGGAAGCTGGATGGAGTTAAAATAAACTGGTGGGCAGGTATTAAATAATATTGAAAAATGTATTATGGCGTTACTAAATAAAACATTAATATCGAAATGCCATTCTTGTTCTCTTTACGAATACTATAGTTAACTTAATTTTAAAATTTTGTTCAATAATGCATACGAGTAAAAAACTCACCAAAAGATTGAAACACACCAGTGATGGACATAGCTATAAGTAAATGTCTATCTTTTATGGCTTATGCCACCGTAATTATTATAGCTATTAACTTCTCCGTTAGACATTTAGAATCTCTAGGGTCTTATTTTTCTATTTAACACTTTAAAATTGGAAACAAATATTCAGTTATGCAGGTATAATCCCCATTTAAAAACATCTTATGTGCCCTTTCACAGGACTTTCCTACCTATTTCAGAAATTTTTTTATATTTTTAAATAAGTTCATGAAGAAACAAAAAAAAAAAAAATTGTACCAGATTTATTTTCCTGAAAATTGATCAAGGAAAAGATTTGAGTACGATTTATTTGATAAATTAAAGCAATGTAAACCGGCTTAAGGTAGATCAGTGTAAAAGTTTCAATACTCTCTAATATTGCTGATCAAAAACTTTTTTCCATAGCTTAGTATTGTCAAACAATAATTTCCGTTAAAAGTAGAGGAAATAGTGAAGCTTGTGTGATGATTACAACAGATTCCCTTACTTTCAAGTTATCCTTTTTGTCTCCTTCATCCCTTTCTGACACCGGTATATGAACCCGTAATCTTCAAAAATTGTATTATAAATTTTACCGTATAATATAAACTTAGAGAGTTAGGCCTCATAACATTTTTTTTTATTTATAACTTGTTCTCCTGTATTTTCTAGGGAATTTAGTCCATATATGAAAATTGAAAGGAAAATTATTAGAAAATTATAGAAAAGTTTCATCAAAATCGTTAGAGCCGTTTTCGCCCTACAGTCTATAGAAGAACGTGTTTTTCATTTATTGCGCGCAAGCTATTGCGCACGGAGCACCGAATTTTTGCCACAGGCATCAGTAATCAAAACCCTACAAAATCAAAAAAGAAGCAACAAAATCGGTTCAGTAGTCCTCGAGAAAATCTTGGCACAGACAGACAGACAGATTAAAAAATTCCAGAAACTAAAAATCGGACGTCCATACTGTAAACAAGGGAAATGTTCGCCATTTCATCCTTTGTTAATGAGCTATTTATAATTTATATTTCATATTATTAATCTGATGTTTTCATTTCTATCATGAGGTCTGAAGCACAAACCTTAGTTTTTTTATTTCTAACTACTAAGATTCTTACCTTTTCAGAAACTGGAACAAGTATTATTCAATTCTGAAACAGACAACTGTAATTAATTAAATTATAAAAAATGTGTAAATTTACCTTAAAGGGGAGGACTTTATTCCGTGAGGGTAATATTAATTAAAAAATACAGAATTTTTTAAAATGAAGTATGCAAATACTAATGGAATAATACGCTTGGGCATGACTATGCAATCAAAAGCCAGTTCTTTATGTAACCGAAAATAGTTTTTTGAAATTTGGAAACAGTAAAAATGTTTTCAATTTTGGAAAATATTACCTTTCTTCTCCCTTGCAATGTGTAAAGTGTTTTACGTTACCGTACATTACAATGAAAACATATCATTCCCTATTATGCTTCCACATGAAATATATTGATACATTAACAAAAAAAAAAAAAAAAAAAAAAAACGGGTGCGCCCAACACACAACTTACCGCTCTTCTTTGAATAGAAGTTATTTTCTGGCAATGTTGGACTATTAAAAATTTTTTAAGTGCATTTTTTACCGTGCATTATCAAATTCTTTAAAAAGTTATATTAAGTCTATTTTTCATAACTCTTAATAATGAGAGTTAATTAATTATTTAAAATAGACGAAATTAAAAAGTACTTTAGAGAAAGACATTTTGAAAATTGGACATTAAAGACCTATTAAGTGACATCAACAGGGGTCGTTATAAGACCTGAATGGTATTGAAGATTACGTAATTATGCATTAATACACAGAGTTTAATCAAAATCGTTAGAGCTGTTTTCGAGAAAATCGTAAAAATGTGTAAAATCGATGATCGATTTTAACGAAAAAGTTCGTGTCACATCTAAGCGACATACAAATCTTAAATAAGGAATTTAAATTTCGTATGACTTTTCATTTTTGAGCCAGGCTGTTAACACACACAGACAGGCTGTTAAAACACCATTTTGTCGGACTTGGTTATTTCGACTCAGGGAACCTCAAAACATGCATTTCTGTTGAAAACTGAGATTCGAAAACTTTCACGACCTCAATACTTTCCCATACTATATATTACATATATAGGTAAGTGAGATACTTTAGGTTGCTTTTGCTAGTGATTAATTGCGATCTACTAAAGAGCTATCTTTTGAGGCAGTGTTTTGTGTTTTCGTTTTGTTCTAATTGTTCATAGCCATCTTATTGTTTTATAGTGTTTTATCATGTTTTTTATTGTTGTTATTAGTTGTAAGTGTAAATAGTGTACATAGATTGAAGTTTGGACAGGAGAGGTTAAGTCGTATAAATTTCGTGAAGGAGTTCTTGTTTGAAAAAATTTGAGTTCCGAGTGTTATATTGAGTAGAAGATCTCTAAAAGACCTTCCCAGGGAGCACAAAGAAATTAACTTTACTGAAACTGTGTAAAAAAAATAAATTTGTAAGTATAACCTGTTTATGTGATAAGAAATATTATTACTGTTACTATTTAAGTTATTAAGTGTCTACTCTTTAAAGACTTGTCCAGGAGTAATATTATAGACAACATGGAGGGAGATGAAAGGGAAGAAGGGGACCCTCCAAGGGTTTCACGTTCAACCGCAAAAAGGGCGAGAAAGGTTTCTCTTGTTGATAACGCAGAAGCTTCTGAGGTAGGAATCTCAAATGACTTCCTTCAAAAAGCAAAGATAATTCAAGAAAACCTCCGAATATACCTAACTAAAGCTGACAAAAGTATTAAAAATAAAGACCAAAACCACATTAATGGCAAAATACAGTGGTTCATTGACGCTATTGAATCGTTGGAGGAAAGGACAAAGCAGTACAAAGATAAGAGTGAGGGTTTATCTTTACTTGTCCATAAAGCGGTTCAGGAAACACTTACCTCGCCTTCAGTACATTCGATGATAACCAGCATCGTAATAGAGAAAACAGTGCCGAAGGTTATAGAATCTCTCTCAGGAACCACTATGAAATCTAATGGTCCCCTCGCCATCCCTGGAAAAAGCAACGAAAAGTCATCCGCGACTAACGTGACCCCGCCTGAGCCTTTACCAGCCGCAGTTCCTTTTACAGCCGTTAAGAGCAAAAGAAACAGGAAAAAGACTAAAAAGTCTACCGGTCCCGAAAGCCTACAAACTGAAAATGAAACGCATAAGACAGAGGCGGAATCTTTGACTGGGTCCGGTCCAAATCAGCCGAAGTCATTGGCCGAAATAGTAAGAAAATTGCCTTTAAAACCTACTCAGTCGCTCAAGCCGGCGTTTATTACTATTAGCGGTACCGGTAAGAGTCCGATGGACATTATCAATGCCCTGCCTTCCCCCACAGAAATAGGTGTTAA